AGTTATTTACCCTGACTGCTTCTTTCGTGTAGACGTCTGTCGCGTACTGCCCGAACAAGTCGTGAGCAACTTCAAACCCTGAGGACATGTAGCTGAAAATTTATTATTGCCCGAGCTGAATGTAAATTCCCTATTTTTTTTACACATTGATTATATTGAGTTTACCATTACATGAATGCATTTTTATTTAATAAAAAATATTATATCAAAGCGAGCCAGCGCAGTAGGTTAACCATAATAAATTAACAAAGCTGGGATTACAATGCACAAAGTTGCTCACCGCGTCTGAAATCGAAACCCCAGGAGCCGAATTCAAAAGACGTGTGGTCGTACATGTCTATTCTGCCCGTCCAGAAACCGAGGTGAGTGTCGAACCTGTCAACAATATCATTTGTATTTTCAATTCAATCAAAACCGTAGCGAAATGAAACTTGTAATGTGGTATATCAAAAGATATAGTCAGATTCTTTATCGATACAGTACGTTACTTTGTCAAATGGGTGATGTTACCCTCTGTTAAGCGGCAGGTATTCGCGCTTGTAGCTGCCGAGGTGCCACTTGCCGACGAGGTGCGTGCGGTATCCAAGTTCGCGCAAGTACTCCGGCAGTAACTTCTCTGTCAGCGGCAACCCACGAGGTTCCGTTCCATAGATTACGCCGTGCTGCATACCTGGCAATACAAAGAAATCGACTGAATACCTACCACTATGACACTACGGGCCCTGCCCTTATAATAATCAAATAATAGTCCCGACATAGAGTAAGATAAGGGAAGAAGTTAATTCTGCAAGATCAATTTTTGCACCAACCCCATCGTAAACCGGTCCATCACTTTTATCGGCATGGAATACCATAGTTGCACAGAGATGATTAACATTTTGGTTAAATACTTGGACGTTATAGACGCTTCCAATTATTTGTGTGAGCTGAAGATGTTTTAATTTGGACATAAAATTCATCTTCACGCGTAATAAGTTCATTTACATATTCATTGTCATGAATACCAGTTAGTATTTACTCCGTTACCGAATAGCTTACGCGATTTACGCTTAATTAACATAATCGCGGAAGATTTTATGGTAATTCAAGTTGTTTCGAGCAGGAAACTTTAAGCTGTTATTTTATCTTATAGGTCATTAACCCAAAATCTGCTAAACACCTTCAGTTTTAACTGAATGATTTAACTGTGTAGAGGGTTTCACTTGTGTCATATTAAATGATGAGACAAATTACTTGTGATACATGTTAGAGGCCTTATTTTACTCTAATTTTGCAACGTTTTCTAATAACAAAGAAATGGTAAACCGCATAGAATATATTGAAGGACGGGATACAAAGAACCAAGTAATGTACCGAATCTGCAACTAATTTGCTTGTATCAACTACCTATTGGTCACGTAAAGTCACAAAAGCGTACGTTTCTAAATTTACTTATTAGCGCCATCGGCACAAAACACATAAAAACAAGTTATTCCAACTGGATTTACGCATATTCAATGAACTATCTTCGTACTTGGTAAAGGTTTTTCAACTAAGAATGCCCTAGTACCGTTAACTTTACCTTCTACTTAAATATTTATCGTTTTTAACCTGTAATAGTTATTTATATTAAACGAGAATAATGATTTTAAAACGTAACAAAAGAATAGAGAACTTTTTAATTGTATCCAGGAGTCTAAGTACCCAAAATCATCGGAATTTTGAAACCATAATTCTATTGCCGTGTTTTAATTTTAATTCTCAATCCGCATCTGGCAAATGACGCTATTATTGTTTATCTATAAAAACAGAACAACAGTATATGACTTATGTGACACTTTTATTAGCTGATAAAGCTGAGAGGGATTAATAGCCTCGTAATCGATGTAAGCAACAATGTACGGCATGCGATGGTAGTCAAAATCTATACTATTATAATAAAGCGTAAACACACACTTCTTTGTTGCCTAAGATGTCAGCAATTACAGCATATTTGTTAATAATTCTTTTTTAATAAAAAGCCCTACACTTACGTCACGCTTTAGGCTATATGCTTTCACGCCATTTAAGTTAGGGGGTAAATATTTTGGATAAAAGCTTAATGTGGGAAATAGACAATAAGTTGCTGCCAACATCAAGGAAGCAAGATTGCCAAGTTTTGTCATGTCATGAATCATTTTGACATTTGCTACCAATGTATTAATAAAATTTTCATAATTTTATGCGGATGAAGCCGCACGGGAACAGCTAGTATTGTATAAAGTTTAAACAATCTTACTACATTATAAATGCGAAAGTTTAAATGGTTTGTTAGAAGGTATCTCCGAAATAACTAAAAGAATTTCCATAAAATTTGGCACAGATATAGAGCATAGTTTGGAAGAACACAAAGGTTACTTAATTTTTTTTTGTACCGCGCGGACGGTGTTGGTAATAGCTAGTAATATTCTATACTTTATACTGCAAATAAAACAAATGTATTTTACATTCTAGATATTTTAGAGTATTTACTCGTAGCATCAATTTATTTTGACCGTTGACCTCAAACCAATCCTTCACGATTATTTTTAGGACGACCTCATGATAAATTTTAAGGAAAAACGAAAACAAGTAAAGGTCTTTTCATATAAATTCCTTTACGATTTTAAACCATGTAGTATTGTTTGTGTTTTATAAAGGGAGTAAGGTAATTGAGCATTGTTTTAGCGCTGATATGATACAATCGCGTACAAAAGGGTTACCACCCATATAACTATTGTATTACATTTTTTATATTACCGATGACTGTATATAAGTACAGTCACAAACAATTATTTTTTCAAATCTTAATACCATCAATTGTTTTTCAATATAGAGAGATTTGTAATTAATTGTTTTTCTATGATTAGCATTGACATTATTAGGGCTCAGTTTCATAAGACGATTACGCCCGCATACCTGGTGCGGGAGATTTCCTATTCATGCATACAATAGTGCTCGCATGCGAGAACCGTTTACGTTAGTCGTTAGGGATCGTATGCGGTTGGGCGTACGTATTTTTCTTTACCATGCATTATACTCCTCAACTGAATTCCGGTCAATCATTTCCATAAGTCGTTAGCCGGTATGCTAGGTCTCCTTGCACGCGGTCTAACGACCG